AGTAGTAGTAGTAGTAGTAGTAGTAGTAGTAGTAGTAGTAGTAGTAGTAGTAGTAGTAGTAGTAGTAGTAGTAGTAGTAGTAGTAGTAGTAGTAGTAGTAGTAGTAGTAGTAGTAGTAGTAGTAGTAGTAGTAGTAGTAGTAGTAGTAGTAGTAGTAGTAGTAGTAGTAGTAGTAGTAGTAGTAGTAGTAGTAGTAGTAGTAGTAGTAGTAGTAGTAGTAGTAGTAGTAGTAGTAGTAGTAGTAGTAGTAGTAGTAGTATAATTATCATAATCATCATCATTGTCATTATTATTGATTTTATAGGGTATCAGGAGGTTTTCATGTAAAAAAAAAAGAACAGAAACTCCCACCCTGATTTTATTTAAGGTGAGGATTGAGGAAGATGTGTGAATCTTTCTAAAATTCAGGGATGGGGTTTCTGACCAAAGAATTGGATTATCATTATTATCATCATAATCTTAGAAGTGCATCGCTGGAAGGGACCCTATGGATCATCAAATCCAGTCTATGTCAAGGAGGCAAAGCGGGGCATTTAACTCCCAACCTCTGGTTCTACAGCCAGAGGCCAAAAACACTGAAGCTAGCCAAAAATTATATGCCAAGGAAGCTCAAACTTCATTTTGTTTGTTTGTTTGCTTTCATCTCAGATGTTTCAGGGATATTTCCATGAAAGCACCTTCAATACAATATAAGCATTATTTAGATAGATAGATAGATAGATAGATAGATAGATAGATAGATAGATAGATAGATAGATAGATAGATAGATAGATAGATAGATAGATAGATAGATAGATAGATAGATAGATAGATAGATAGATAGATAGAGTTCATCTCCAGACATCTCTAAACTTGGAAGAAACCACCAGCTGAATTTCTGGCTATGAAAGACCCATTGGCAGCAGGAAAAGAGGAAGACAAAATGTGAGAAGGATTGACTCATCCAGGAAGCCACAGTCTTAGCTTTACAGGAGCTGAGCAATGCTGCTGAGGACAGGACATCTCAGAGGTCATTTGTTCACTGGGTGGCCCTAAGTCAGAAGCTTCTTAACGGTACAGAACAGGAAAGGAAACCCATTTCCGCATCTTCCCTTGCCTGCTACGAAAAGGAGGGAACACTCAGCAGAAGGGTGGGGTTTAGCCGCTAGTTGGCCCTGTTGTATACTCCCAGTAACTTCCTTTGGGGCAACTGGAGGACTGAAGTTCCACCCACTCTGGAGTTCTGCCTGACACCCACGCGCGTCCACACACCAACCCTTATGACTCATTGCAGCTTTTATGGCAGGGAAGGAAACCAGCAACCTAGAATGAGGAAGTGGCGAGCAGACCGGGAAGTGAGAGCAAAACTCCCTGCCCTGTCCTTCCTCTCTTTGTGGCTAAAAATTGCGGAGAAAGAGACCGAAACTCCCTGGGAACCCCAGTGAAGGCCACCCAAGTCAGTGGGTCTCTGTGTCGCGCTAGATGTTCCAACTCAGCCTTACCGGTGTAGCCGACGGGGAGCAGCGAGGGAGATGCTGCCCAAGAATATCTGCAAAGCTACAGTTGCCGAGCTCTCTGATTTAGGATTTTAAATGCCAAAACTGGCATTTTCAACTGAGACCAGAAACAGATGGCTACTAAGTTCAGCAGAGAATCAGCGTGTAGGGTGTTCCAATTCGCAACCACCAGATAAAAAGGTCTGATTGGCCCGTTTCAAACTGCAGAGACTGAATCTATGGACTTTCTTTCTTTCTTTCTTTCTTTCTATCTTTCTTTCTTTCTTTCATGTACAGTGGTGCCTCGCTTAACAACGATAATCCATTCCAGGAAAATTGCCGTTAAGCGAAAACATCGTAAAGCAAAATAAAAAAACCCACTGAAACGCATTGAAACCCGTTCAATGTGTCCCAATGGGGTAAAAACCCACTGTCCAGCGAAGTTCCTCCATACGGTGGCCGAAAGTGGATTCATAAAGTGGATTCATCGTAATGCAGGGCAATCGTAAAGCAAGGCACCACTGTATTATATTTAAAAATATTTTTAGCCCTCCTTTCTCCTTGAAATAGGACCCAAGGCGGCTTACAAACAATGAAGGACAATATTAAAAGTTTAAAACAATGAGTATACAATGGTGGTTAACATCATGCAAAAGAGATATTTAGAAATTATGAAAAATTTAAAAATTATGAATTATGAATAAGGAAGCATCTTACATCATTAGCAGGCAATATTGAGGCAAAAATCATTTAAAAATGTCACTCTGAGAAATGGAAATGGACGCATCTTACATCATTAGTAGGCAATATCGAGGCAAAAATCATTTTTTTTAAAAAAAATGTCACTCTGAGAAATGGAAAACACTGGTAGTACTAAAAATCCAGTCATAGCAGAAATGCATAATAACCCACCTAAAAACTGCACATGGGTAGCTGGTTTACTGAGGGACGGCTTGCCTGAAGAGAAAGGTCTTTGCCTGAACTGTTACTATCATAGGCAAACCGGTACGAATGAATTCCCATCAGAGGATTCTGTCACTGACAGCTCTTGCTTAAGTCTTGCAAATTAAAGGCCGTGGATTCCTTCACGGACTCAAGCCACCTCATGTTTGTGGCTTTCCTCTTTTCCTACTGAAGCTGTCATGTTTTCCTAACGTAACAGTCTTTTCTGGGTTTCTCTTGGCACCTCATGATATTCTTTTCAAAGCCCAACTATTTCAGAGAAGTTTCTATCAGTACAGCCGTTGTTCAGGTCTGTGCCTTCAGCTACAGATGGTGAAGAAGATGAGACCGAAAGCTTTCATGCAACTCTCTCCTGGAGGAAACTGACCAGACCTCAAAATAGGATGTTGTGATCATAATAGGCGACTGGAGCAAAAAAACAGAACCAGTTCCTTGGAGAATCTGGCCTCTGCAGGAAAGCAACTGCTTTTAAATTCTACAAAGACAACAATTTGTTCGCTGCCAATATACGGTATGTGTTAGGCAATCAGACAGATGATTCTATATGTAGCCTTCTCCAGACGGCCAATATGGAAAACAAAGAGACCCTATAATTGGAAGCCAAAGACAGAGAAGCTCTATTCTGTCTGCAAAAACAAGACAGGGAACAGACGATGGTACAGAACGTGAACTGTTATTGTGAAAACTTAAGCTTGAGAGTAAGATCATTGGAATTATCATAGCATTAAATATAATTTAACAAATATTCCTGAAGAATTGAAAATGACACAAATGGATTTGTACTCAACTGACTGTGAAATAGAACTGTGGATTGAAACTAGATACACTGGTTGAATCCAGATACTCAGGGAAAAATATATACAAAGACTACTCTTGAGATGAGAAGCAAAAGTAAACGGTAATAAAAATGTGGCCAGAATTGCAGTTCGCACATAGGGACAAAGATAACAATTGTAGCAATCATTGTGCAAAGAAACAAACAAGAGAGGACAGGAGATCTGTTCCATCAAGACATCAAAGTTTAAACCAAGATTAAGGAGCCTGAAAGATCAACAGTGGAATATCTTATGAGAGCGAAATGAAAGAGAAAATGAGGACAATATACTGAAAAAGTCCCATATGAAGAACCTGTCATTTCAGAAAGTGAAGTGTTTCAAAGCATGTGGAAGAAATAAATCACCAAGGATACCAGTCAAGTTTCAGGGGATGAAGCTGTCAAAATCCTAACAAGAGTACAACAACATATATAGAAAACAAACCTTTGCTACACAGACTGCAAATGTCCAATGTAAATTCCAGTCTCTAAGAAAAGGGATGCCAAGGAGTGCAGTCACTACAGGACCACTGGATTAATTTCTCCTGAAAGTAAAGTGATGCTCAAGCTGTTACAACAAAGACTTTGTTACGCTGTATGAAATGAGGAATGCCGGATGTTCGAGCTGGGTTTAGAAAAGAAGGAGGCACCAGAGATCCTATTGCAATAACATGTTGTGCACTAAAGCAGCAAGGAGACCAGTCTGTGCTTTGTAGATTACAATGTGCTTTTACGCCTGCCCAGAAGCACCTTCCTCTCCCTGCCCTGGGGAGCGGGGCCTCATCTTCCATCCTGGCCACCCCACGTCCTCGCTCGCTCGCTCGCCACCCGGGCAACCTGAAACAAGCCGCGCGCCAGCTCGAGAGAAATGGCCCATCAGTGAGCTGGGTCTCGAATGCCGCCGCTTCGCCCCAGCAACCGGTGACGTCACGGTGCGCTGACGAAGCCCATTGGCGGGGTCGGCTGGAGGGGAGTTTTTTTGGGGGGGCTGCGGAGCGTCCAGGGCAATTCTCTGCTCTGGCTCAGAGGCTACATTTTGGGGCAACTAAGAAAATGGGTCCCGGACGGTGCCAGTGGGGCGGCCTGCTGAGGGCTTGGCTCTTGTTAGCGGCGGCGGCGGCGGTGGCGGAGGCTCAAGGTACGGGACACGCGTGTACATGTACGTGTGAAAGTGAAACGCGACGCTTCGCTTGCGGGGGAGAGGGGGTGTCTGCCGAGTACAAGCTTCGCGTCGCGTGCGTGTGCAAAACTGGGAGAACTTGCTTTTTAGAAAATAAGTGACAGCTCCCATAATCTCAGGCAACTCTGCAATCCAGTAAGTAAAGGACCCTTTATGCGAGTTTGTGCTCGGGGTGGAGGTGGGGGTCCCGTGTGAACTTCCTCTCCCCCCCCCCTGCATCTTTCCAAACCAAATGAGACGGGCTGGTTGTCGTCGGTTTTTATTTCTGCCATGTTCAAATCTTTTGAGTGGTTTTAATTATCGACTTGTTTAATTATCGAACCGGGGGTGGGGGTGGGGCTAGATTAAATCAAGCCTGAAATGTCTCTGGAAGCAAAAAATGGTGAAGCTGAGCCTGTCCTACTTCGGGCACGTCCAGGATTCTCTGGAGAAAGACCATCATGCCTGGGAAAAGTGGGAGGCAACAGGAAAAGAGGGAAACCCCAATGTGAGATGGATCGGCTCACTTAAGGAAGCCACAGCCCTCAGTTTGGAAGCGCCGGACATGGCTGTGGAGGAAACGGGCACGCTGTCCGGTTAATGGTCACTCCACAAACGAGATCTTCAACTGCCCAGCCCAACTCCAGCAAACTGCGGTCTGTGCTTTCCTTTCAGGAGTCAATCCATCTCGTATTTGGTCTCTCCTCTTTTCCCGCTGCTTCCGACTTGTTGCCCGTCCTGGCCTTCTCGCCGTGCGCCCAAAGTGCGACAGCCTTGGCTCCATCGTTTTCCTGTTTCTAAAGATTGTTCGGGTCTGATTTGATCTGGGACGCCCTCGTTTGTCTTTCTGGTGGTCTGGGCCATCGTCGGGGGCCTCCTCCAGCACCCTATTTGAATTAGTCCGATTTCTGAGGCAATCTAACAGACTCCACTTTTGCACTTTGGGGTTTATAGCTGAGGGAAGTTTCTGGACTTCTCTTTGCTATAGGGCCGCGGAGGGGGGGGAGGCTCCCTGCCCTTAATAAACGAAGCATAGACTGACCGATGAAATTGCAGAAGATAATGAACCTCGGCCCATCCTTGGATTTGTTTTTATAGTTTTTCCAATCCAACTGGTGTTTGCAGGTCCCACGGAAGAAGTCGGGGGCGAGACAGATGGCCCATTACAAAAACTACAGTGCTTTATGTCTGGATCCCACCGATCATGTTGTCCCCCCCCCGAGGGAGAGGGAACTGTATTTTACTGTTCTTAATGAGTTTGAAGGGAATCTTAGGGGCTTCAAAATGAAACAAGGCTGGGGGTGGGGGCTGATGCTGGTGAGCACAGAATAAAAGGCACAGGCCCCCTCCACCCGCCCAAAAAGACAACAGATATATAAACTCCAGAAACCAAAGAAGCCCTTGGACCATGGAGGAAGCTGAAGGCAGCAGGATCCCACCGCCACCCCTGTTTTGTTTAGGTCTCCACTGATCTTGCATTCTCTCTCTCTCTCTCTCTCTCTCTCTTTTTATTATTATTATTATTATTATTACCCTGTTTCCCCGAAAATAAGAGAGGGTCCCTAAGTAACTGCATCTGACTACAACTCCCATGCACCTACGCGAGGGGTTGTCCACTGTGATGCAGGATAAGGGGCGCTGCAGTGCACTACATACTTGTGAGAATGCCTTGGCTGCCAAGCCATTCAATGGGCAGGGCCCCTTCACACGCCCCATGCCGGAGTTCTGCGTGCGCCACCCACCCCTGTTCCATAGGCATGGCGGATCTTGAGTTTGTGTGTGGGGAATGTATATCCTTATATTGTGTCCAATCAGGTAGAGACAAGAGGGCGAAATTTCTCTCTCTCTCTCTCTCCTTGCTGGGAATATTATTCCAGTGACCTTCATCACCGCGTGTTTCTCCCCCCCCCCGTCCCGCTAGGAGAGGTGGCCCACATCTTTTCCGAGGTGTTCTTTTGCCAAAGAGACTCCCCGTTTTCGGGCCTGTCCCAGAGTCTGGACAACGAGCAGTTGTTCTGGTTCGACTTCCCGGGGTCTTCTTGGCATCCACGTCTGACCGATTTCCGCCCAGAAGCAGAAAACCGGACCTCGAAGGATGAAATTCTGAAGCTCAGTAACATCTGCACACTAGCCCTGGACGTCCTGACTAACTTTTCCCAGGAATACATGCCTGAGGCCAAAGGTATATTAAATTTACGGGCTCCCTGCGAGGGTAGAAGGAGGGGTCCCCGTATTTCCTTGAAATGATCATATTATGTCTGCTTTTCCGATGAGCCTGGAGTATTTTCTTCAGAAGTCTTGAAGGACAAAAGGCAGTTTCTTTTGCCCCAAGGGTGGAAAAAGGCACTGGGGGGGGGGAGGCTCAACTCAGCCCCAGCACAGACCCACCCCACCCCCAACAGGTCACCCCGGGAACCCTAAATCCCATAATCCCACCAGCCAGGGTGGACCTAGAAGTCCAAATATTCCCCATTTTTTTAAAAATATATATATTTTAAAGTTACTGTCCTCTCCTATTGTTACGCATTTGCTAGCATTTTAATGTGGCAACTTCCAGGAGGCTCAACTCAGCGCCAGCACAGACCCACCCCACCCCCAACAGGTCACCCCGGGAACCCTAAATCCCATAATCCCACCAGCCAGGGTGGACCTAGAAGTCCAAATATTCCCCATTTTTTTAAAAATATATATATTTTAAAGTTACTGTCCTCTCCTATTGTTACGCATTTGCTAGCATTTTAATGTGGCAACTTCCATACCTGGCTGTTTTGTGTGGTGGTGTGTGTATTTTTTTTTTAACTGTGAAGCCCCCTTTTTTTTTTTTTTGGAAAGGTGAGATAGAAATAAAATCAAATAATAACAAAACCCTTAACCCCTAGGGCGGACTCCCAATGCCAAGTGCCTCTCCTTGCAAGCTTTTATGCTTATTTGTTTTGTTAATGACACTTTCACACAATTGGGTGCAGGGTTCCCCACCCCTTTCAATTAATAGACATGGTTCCTGAGTTTTAAAGAATAATCCCTTTGTTATGGTGCTTATGTTCTGGATCAGAATCTGTCCTCTAAGAACGGAGGCCTAGCCCTGGCTGCCCAAAGGGGATTCAACACAAAGTCTGAGATTCGTTCCCCACCTCCAACACCTGTCGCTCAGGTGCTTATGCCCACCTTGCTCCTTAGCTCCCGGGGTGTGACTGCGTCCTGCGAGCTCCCAGCTGAGACCCGTGGCTTCCATTTTGTACCACGTCTCGGGACATACTGCCGCTGGGCCCGCTCCCTCCTCCCGTCATCGTGGCTCCCCCTTTCCCTCGCAGGTATCCCTCAGGTGGACGTTTTCACCCTCCAGCCCTTCCAGCTGGGCCAGCCCACCACCCTGGTTTGCTCCGTGACCAACATCTTCCCCCCCTCGGTGACCATCAGCTGGGAGCTACAGGGCGAACCCGTAAGCCAGGGGGTCTTCACCACCCATGTCTACCCCCTGGAAGGGCTGGACTTCCAGATGTTCTCCTACTTGGAGGTGACCCCCCAGGAAGGACAGGTCTACAGCTGCACCGTCAAGACCCCGGGGGACAAATCCAGCACGACAACCTTCTGGGGTGAGCCTTTCTCTTTCCCCCCCCCAGACATACACGGTCCCCCACACTTCTCAATGCCCCCAATCCTCAGGCTGTCCCTCCCCCCCTCAATCCCAGTAATATGGGTTGTTGTGTGTCCTTTTTTTATAGTTCCCAAAGATCCCGTGGACCCTCAGCTTCTGGGGAACATCCTCTGCGCCGTGGCCTTTGGCGTGGGAATCCTCCTCGCCATTCTTGGAGCGATCCTCGTTATTCTGATGCTCCAGACCAAGAATGCAGGTGGGCCAGGATGCCTGGATCCCCTGGGAGTGGGAAGGGGAGGGTTAAGGTCAAGGGCATCTGGAAAGACCCTCGTCCGAAGCCCTGGAGAGCTTTCGCAGTCTGTGCTGAACCATGAGGACTAGGAGCTTGGTTTATCCCTAGTTCCCAGAGCCCCTATTTTGCATGAGGAAAAGCCAAGCTGCCCCTCTGACAGCTATTGCCGTCTGTCAGAGCTAGCGTTACCTGGCCAGGTGAACACAGGAAGTGTTTGACCCCTTTTCCCTCATGAGAGGTTTGTCTCTACCTTAAAATGCTCCTGCCCTCGAAAGAAAACATGTTCCCGGAAACTTGGAAAATCAGTAGTCCTGTTGGCCGGGGGGATTTTGGGAATTGTAGTCCAAAAGAAGTCACTTTCTTTGCATCTTTTGTGGAGGGGCTCATGGCTGCGTGCCTTTCTTTCCCCCCGCCTTCCCCACCACTCTTTTTAACCCCAAAGGGCAGGAAAGCCATTCTGTCAACAGAGGTGATCCCAAGGCCATTCTGAGTGAGCCTGATGGGTCAGGGAGTGCTTCAAGAGGGTGCCAGCCTAAGGTCCCTCAAGGGGGGGGGAAGGGGGCTTTGTGAGTCAAGCTCAGCACCTTGAAGGGGCCCAAGAATGTGTACAAAACAAGAGAGTGAGAGAGAGAAAGAATATGAAAGTGTGCGCGCGCGTGCAGTGAGGGTTTTGCATGGCGGTGAGGACTAGTAAACTTAGGCACAGGCCTCCACTGGTCCCTCCCTAAACCCAAGCCCCCCTCCATCTTGAGGAGGGCAAAATCCAGTGGGCGGCAAAGGCAGGAATGCCCTCCCCCCCCATACCTGCCAGCCCCCCTTTTCCACCCCATTCCTTCATGGGTCACTGTTTGCATCTTCTTCCTTTCTCAGAATGACGTGCCCAGCCACTCCGATGAAGACCACCGTCACCCCGTGGGAAGCGCCGCCCCCTTTCCTTGATCCAGAGAGAAGTGCCTCTGAGTGTCGTGCCCCCCCCATTGTGTGTTTGGGGTCGGGCTAAGGTTGCCTTGCCCCACCAGGATCTTCTCCCTTGCTACTTCCATTGCCACGTCCTCTTGCCCCCCCCCTTCCTGGCCTGCCAAGCCTGGTGTGAAATGAGTTTTTTTTGGGGGGGGGGGTAAAAAGTTTTTAATGAAGGGGAAGGAACCTGGTTGGGATTTGTAGTTTACCGACCTTTCCT